ATATATATATATATATATATATATATATATATATATTTATATTTATAAGTATTTGTACTGTCTCCTTTTGTGTATAAACTGTCTCCTTCAGCTCTATTCTACTACCCACCGGGGGAGGTATTGAGTGGTTCTTGGTATTTATATAAATATAAAAAAGAAGAAATAATAAATATAATAGATAAATATATAAACCCTGGAAATATAAGAGTTTTTTTACTAGATAAAGACAAACAAATGCATGCAGCGGAGACAGAAAAAAGATATAATATTAAATACAGCAGACAACCCATCAAGGAGACAGTTCTATACAAATGGAGACAGTATATACACCTCAGCCCCGACGCTCTTGCTGCTGCGCTGCAGCAGCACCAACTGTCTCTCCCCCCTCCAAACCCCTACCTCACCACCATACTCCAGCTAAAGCCCCCACAGCAGCAGCAGCAGCAGCAGCAGGAGCAGCAGCAGGAGCAGCAGCAGCAGCAGGAGCAGCAGCAGCAGCAGGAGCAGCAGCAGCAGCAGGAGCAGGAGGAGCAACAGCAACAGCAGCAGCAGCAGCAGCAGCAGCAGCAGGAGCAGCAGCAGCAACAGCAGCAGCTGCAGCAGCAGGAGCTGCAGGAGCAGGAGCAGGAGCAGCAGCAGCAACAGCAGCAGCAGCAGGAGCAGCAGCAGCAGCAGCAGCAAGAGGAGATGCTTGATGCTGTCCCCCCCACACGTTTAGTATATGGGAAGGGACATATATGTGAGGAGACAGCTGAGGTGTCTCCTCTGTCTCCTTTGTCTCCTTTGTCTCCTTTTTCTGTTTTTTCTTTGTCTCCTTTTTCTTTTTCTTTTTCTCCGCGGTGTAATGTATTTTATAAAGAAGATAAAAAATATAAAGTCCCCAAAACTGCGGTGTCTCTACACTTTTATTTCAAGCCCCAAAAAGGAGACACCAGCACACCAATACAAACGGAGACAGCAGAAAAAAAATATATAAATATAAATAAACAAAAAAAATATAAACTCCTACAATATGTATTTACTCTTCTCTATGTCAGGCTAGCAAGTCTATCCATTACTGAGGTATGACAGCCCCACAACAAACACATGCATGCATGCATGCATGCATGCATCGCTGCATGCATGCATGCATGCATCTCTGCATGCATACATCTCTGCATGCATGCATGCATACATACATCTCTGCATGCATGCACGCATGCATGTGTATCCTTTTATTTTGTGTTTTGCTGCTGCTGTTGTTTCTTTTGCTGCTGTTGCTGCATCTGTCTCCGTAACTGTCTCCTTTTATATTTTTGTTTATTTAATTGTCTCCTTTTATAATATAGTTTAATTATGTGTCTCCTTTTTGTTTAGTTTATCTATATGTCTTTGTTTATTACATTTATTTATTTATTTATTTATTTGTATCTTTCTATCACAAAAAGTAAATAAAAAACTCTTTTTATATTTTTCTTTATCTAACTGTCTCCTTTTATATTTTTCTTTATCTAACTGTCTCCTTTTATATATATATTTCTTTCTCTATCTGTCTCCTTTTATATATATATTTCTTTATCTAACTGTCTCCTTTTATATATATATTTCTTTATCTATCTGTCTCCTTTTATATATATATTTCTTTATCTAACTGTCTCCTTTTATATATTTCTTTCTCTAACTGTCTCCTTTTATATATATATTTCTTTATCTATCTGTCTCCTTTTATATATATATTTCTTTCTCTATCTGTCTCCTTTTGTGTATGTTTGTGTTTTTTTTCTTTCTTAGGCATTCGACGATGCTTACCGTGCTGGTGTAGTTTTGTCTCTTTCTGCTGGCGTTGAGTTTTCTAGTACATTACGCCCTTTTGCTTTGGGGCTGCATGCGTTTGGGTTCTCCCCGGGTGTATACGCAGCTCTCACACAGCTAGCACAGTGTCTCGGTCAACCCAGCAGCAACACCAGCAGCAGCAGCAGCAGCAGCAGCAGCAGCGGTAGCAGCAGCAGCAGCAGCAGCAGCAGCGGCAGCAGCAGGTGTCCTGCTGAGCCGCTGCTGCAGCGGGAGCTGCTGCAGCCTGCATGGGAGGGTTTAGAGACAGCAGCAAGAGTTGCTGCTACACACGAAACCCCAGCAGCACAAGCAGGAGACAGTCTCCGCCAGTTTGTCTCCTTTCCTTTCTTCTCTGCTGCTGATGTTCTAGAAGGGATAGAGACACTGAAGCAGCACTACAGCAGCAGCAGCAGCAGCAGCAGCAGCAGCAGCAGCAGCAGCAGCAGCAGCAGCAGCATGCAGAGACAAACAGATAGTATAGATACTCAGTATACAACAGAAACACAAACACAAAGACAAAGACAAAGAAAAAAACAAAAGACAAGGAATATTGCTGCAGCAGACACGCATGTGTGGGGTGACGCCCTCTACCGAGATCTTCTTCGGTGGGGTCACCGCCTCTGGGAGGAGGTTCACATTGAGGGGCTCATACAGGTTAGACAACAACTAGCTAGCTGGAGACAGCAGCTAGATAGCTAGGCTAGCTAGAGAACAACAGCTAGCTAGCTAGCTAGCT